CATCAATAGAGTCACCAAATCGGAAAACATGGAATGAGTCAGACATAGCCCACAGTAATTCTGACTTATTATGTTTTTTAAAAGAATTTCGTTTTTATAAATTGTATTTAATTTTAATCAATGATTTTAATCAACAAGTTGACTGATAAATTCTCAGAAAATGGATTTAATACCAATATTTTGAAACGGTGCGTAGTCCCCCCCCCCCCACCCCCCACCGGGAATTCCGCCCCCCCTCTCACAAAATAGTTCCAACGTCCCTGTACAGGTCGCATAGGGGCAAAAAAATCGGAATTAGGTCGTTTCAGCCTGCAGTGTGAACGTAGCCTAAGAGTGAATGTGTGCATATTTTAAAATAGAAATATTATTTGAAAATAGTTCAATTGATTACTTGAGTTACAAAAAAAAAATTTTTCTTGTTCTTTTCCCGTTCCTTTCTTTTTCTATTTTCCCATAAATCCATGTCAATTATTAACTGCGTTTACAATTGCCTTGGAAGCTGAAGCTTAGGATTGTGGTTAGGCGCGTTAAATTTACGCCAAGCTCTTGAGGTGTTTGGCCAATCACAAAGCACTGGGTCAGCTGTCCAATCACAAAGCACTTTGAGCTTTCAGAAGGAGACGCTTCCTTGTACTAATCAAGTTTCAGAAAGACTGGTAAGAGAGGTGCTGCAATAATGTACAGTGTGTGAAAAATAATGTGTTTGTTTGGAACATTAAAGCATGTTAACCTATTCTATTACACCAAAGAAGCAAAACAACAAACCTTTAAAGGGGTGATGAACTGAGAAATCAGCTTCCTTGAGCTTTTGACATCTAAGAGGTCACCGATTCGCACATTACACGCATAGCTAAATAACATAGATTTCTACCTCATGAGGACAAACCGGATCAAGCTTCCGAGCAATACAAAATGTTGTGCAGTGCCTGGTTGTGGAAGAAGACAGTCGCTGCATAAGCTTCCTCTGGATTCCAATAGGACTGCATGGATAAACTGTAAACTGTAACGACGTTCCAGCTGATGAGGTAAAACATTGTCCGTCTGTTCGCTTCATTTCACTGAGGATTGTTTTGTAAACAAGACTGGATTTGCAGACCGATTAAGAGTAAAGAATGGTGATGTGCCGTCTATATTGGAACCAAAAGGAATGGTGCAACACACGGACTCTGGGTCGAACGTGTATGGGCGAATCATTCCGGTTGCCATTTTACAACATTGGACGTTTTCAAAACAATTTCCCCCACGTGCATCGATGAGTGAGTTGAAACTCATTATAATATGCAAAACTGTTATCCACTCACAGCAGTGGGCGTTTACTTCCAAGTCTTCAGTGCGAAACGCCCATAAAAACTGAGCGTTTTTGAGCTAGGCTCAAAACTAGGGTAGAAAATAGTCTATTACTTATTCATTTTGATATTTTTGAATGCAAAAACCAAGCGAACGTCATAAGTTGACCTCAGACAACAATATAAAAAAATTTAAAAAGCCAGTTCATGAACCCTTTAAAATAGCATCATATGACCCCTTTAATTATTTGATTCCTTTAAATAAAAAGGCCATTATGAACCGGCCTTGATGTTAATGACATAAATCATTTCAATTAGTGCTGTTCGGCAGTTGGGTAAAGGTAACAAACCTCTTTTCTCTACCGCCCGGATGCATTTCTCCACAAAGCTGGGCACTGTCGTGTTCTCCTGGTTACAGAGATTGTGCAAGTGGCATCCAAATACATTTTCTAAAATGAAAAGAGTCACATTAGAATCATTCCTCAACAAGCTTCTGTCAAAGTAATACGAAATGGATGAGGTACTGTAGAGTACTGGTCTGACCTCTGATATATCCCTTCTCTTTGACTGACTGCAGGGTGGGCCGCTTGAGGAGAAACTTCTTCAGTTTGGAGCGAACCTTCTTCTGATCGGCTTCAGAAGTCATTCGAGATGCTAATGAACAGGAAGAGGGCATTACATATTGACACTCATTACCATTCTCTGTTCAAAAAACGTTTTAGTAGCTTTAGTTCTTTATTAATGGATGAACATACTGACATACTGTAATTTGCTCAAATATATCATTCGGGTCCAAACGACATTTAATGTTGGACAAAATAATTGAAATAATTTTTCAAAATATGTTCTACTGTGTTAAACAGAAGAAAGTCACTCAGGATTGGAATGACATGAAGGTGAGTCAAGGATGACAGTTTTTTTTTAATTTTGGGATGAACTGTCCCTTTAACTCTGGTAGTCTTTGGTAATTTTGGAAAAGTTTTATTATTATTATATTTTGCTTCATCATAATGGTTTGAAACTTGGTGATTTTTGTGGCACTTACTATACATAAATATATATGTTAGCGCTGTCAAATGTATTATCAGAATTGTTCGCATTTAACATAAAAGTTTGAGTTTATATAACATACATGTGTGTGTACATATATATACAGTATGTATGTGTGTGTATACAGTATATACAGTATATACACACATACAGTATATTATATAACCACAAATTTATGTTAGATGCAATTAATTGCAGTTATTCAATCAATTGAACAGCACACACACATTATTTCTTCCACCAGATGGCACCAATTATTTTTATACAGAAATAAATGCTGCATAATTTTGTAAATGTTGTCAAGTATCACGAAATCCTCTTAAAATACAAAATATTAAAGAGTTTATATCATGTAACCAAAATGTAATACATTAAATGATTTAAAAAAATGTTTACACTTACTGTAATCGGTCTATTTTGACCACTAAAAGAGGAAAAGAATGATTTGTCACACTACCATTGCTCATAGTTCTTTTGTCAAAGGCTTTTTCCTCTCTGTCTAAGCTTGAGGACTTCTCACTGATTTCCTCCTCATCTTCAGAGTGATGCTGATCCAAATCCTGACAGCAAAGAGCAAAAAGTCAGACACGATTATGCAGATTTCATGGAGAAAACCAAAACCGAGAGTTTGTTATTGATCACGACGCAAGGCTCACCAGCTGGTTTATGGTATCTACGATGACTTTATACCAGTCAGTGATGATGCTTTCAGTGTCGTACTGGATCAAGTACTCTGCGCCGTTCCGACTCTTCAGCTGAATGAATAAATAAACAAGGGATGCATCAACAAGATACACTAGTAAAGTAGATGATCATCCAGCACAATCTTGGGGAGTGTTAAAACGGCCATACCTCAAAGACATTTTTCTTGCTTGACTTGTCCTTGGTTGCCCAACCAATTGTAGCCCCTTTCAGATCAACTGTGAATTCTGGGACTATATGATTGGTCTTGCTCTACATAATATAAATACGTTCAGTGTTACAAAATGAAATACTTGATAATGCAAATTCCACATTTGTGGATTTAGATTCTCACCGATGCTCCGGTTGGCGTGGACTTTGGGTCCTTATGGAAAGTCAGTATTCCTCCATGGAGAACCGTCCAGGAATTACCCCAGTTCTTCCTGTATGAGGATTGATAAGATGTTAGACATTTACATACAATTGTTATTTTTCACCAATACAGTTATAGCTATCATAGCAGTACCACCACTGATTTAAGTTCATGATGGAAAACTTTACCTAATTTTCTTCCCGTTTTCAGACACTTTTGTTTTGTTCAGGATTCCAGCCTTTTCCAAGTTTGAAACCTGGAAAAATATGTATTCATTAATACAGCCTCTCTGGCAAAAACACAGGATAATATCAGGATTATAGTACAGAATAATATCTGACAACATGAAAGTGATGTAAATATTAACCTTTGAGGTTCAACTCAAAATGCAGAACAAAAAAGGTAGATGAGCGTTTAGCTATTTTAAAAAAGCAATGGTTATAAATTTAAGAGAACATTCAGAATATGGCACTGTTTATTATGCTTATTTAATAAAATAAGTCACAAGGCAAGCAGCCAATTGTTATCCGAACAGATAAGAAATGTTTGAGCTAAAACTCCTAAATTGAGGAAACATCAATATAATATACACCAATTTTCAATAATTTGTTAAATAATAGTCAAGTACATTTAATTTGTATTGCACTTTTCACAACACAAATTGTTTCAAAGCAGCTTTACAAAAAATATTATAAATATTATAATATTTATAATACCTTAATACCTTCTTGCCTTATAGTCGCATTTAGCAGATTTGAGCTGGGCGATGATATAGTTTACATTTTGGTACGATACAAGCAAATCAAGCTGTTGATATTTCGTATATATACAATATATTGCATCATGTATAGTGCATGTGTATATAAATAATGCAGATAAAGTTATACTTCGAATATCATCCAAATAATATAATAATTCGAAATAAAAATCCAGTGATATAGTACTTCATTAGCCAATGTGTAGGCTGTTATTGTCTTCAAGCAAACTAGTAACATTAGTGTATTAATATATAATGTGCAGTCATAAGTGTTTGTTCATCTGCAATTTACATCCAGGTCATCCAATCAGAATTTAGCATCAAAACTGTTGTATAAAACAAACAATCCAGTATTATGACTACATGTATGAATGATAAAAGCCTTTCTGTGGCAGTACCACGGTACAGTGATGTCTCAGATGGTAAAACCATGGAAATCAACGATCCTCTAAGGTATTTAAAGGGTTAGTTCACCTAAAAATGAAAATTATGTCAGTATTTCTCACCCTCATGTTGTTCCAACCCCGTAAGACCTTCGTTCATTTTCGGAACACAAATTAACATATTTAAGATATTAAGATCGCTCCTGCATACTAGTCCATAGGCTTCTTGAGGAATTGAAACTTGTCGGCCTCGAAAAGTTATTAAAGACATCGTTAAAATAGTCCAAGTGACTACAGTGGCTCAATCTTAACTTTATCAAACGACGAGAACACTTTTTGTGCGCAAAAACAACCAAAAATAACAACTTTATTTCAACTATTCACTTTCTTCTCTATGGGCCTGTAGTCAGTTAACGTAGTGTGATAGCGTAGAGCTACGTCACACGTAGGCTCACTATTGGCCGACGCTGGTCGTGTGTGATGCGTACAATAACAGAAGCTTACGCTATTAAACTAGTAACCTGACTCGAGGCAGAGAGAGAAGTAAATGAATAGTTGAAATAAAGTCGTTATTTTTGTAGTTTTTTGCACACAAAAAAAATTCTCGTCGTTTGATAAACTTAAGATTGAGTCACTGTAGTCCCTTGGACTATTTTAATGATGTTTTTAAAACTTTTCGAGGCCGGCAAGTTTCAATCCCTCAAGAAGCCTATGGACTAGTATGCAGGAGTGATCCAGCTCTCAGATTTAATAAAAAAAATCTTAATTTGTGTTCCGAAGATGAACGAAGGTCTTACGGGTTTGGAACAACATGAGGGTGAGTAAATACTGACAGAATTTTCATTTTTGGGTGAACTAACCCTTTAAAAAGTACTAGCAGGGTAAATGTCCAAAAACTCAAGGTACTGCCATGAATTTGCATCTAAATCTCATGGTAGTATCATGACACATTTGGTATTTGTTTGTCAGAATGGAAGACAGCAATCAGGCTCTAAGTTTCACTAGGAACCACCAGAGGACAGTGTGGCAAAATATTGCACTATATTCACTCGTCTAGTCATAATCTAACACTTTTGATCAGACATCTGTCCACTAGTCCTAGCCTACTCTTTCCCAGTATTTATTGTGGAACTGTATAATAAAAATGTCCTGTGTCATTTATGCAACATACATTGCATCCTTTATACAGGGGAGGCATTCCCAGCCAAGAAAAAACATTTAAAAGTTCATGGCAGAGCATATATTATCTACCTAACAAGTCACATGATTCTAGCTTACGTTATGTGATAATAATCACATAACGTTTGAAAACTTCATTCATGTAGTTTATTGTAAAATTTCGATCAACTGGATTTTGCCCACATTTTCTTATGCATAAACATCAAACTGCAATCTTACATTATGTGGCATCTCAGGAGAGTTCGAGGCGTCACTATCTGATCTATTCAGAGGGTATGATGAATGACTCTTCTGTTAAGACAAAATCACATGTGTAATTCACACTCTGCAAGCCATCGAAGCTCAAAAAAGAGAGACAAAGCCATTTAACTGTCGGCAAATATGCAATTTTCAGCATTTTTCCATAGCGTGCCTCAGTGAACAGTAAATACCACTAGTAATATGGTCCAGTATCAGTGTTTTAGAAGCTGAATTTATTTCCATGGATCAGTTCAGTGAAGACAGAATAAATAGTGAGTATATGTTTGCATATGCTACTGAAAGACTGGATTTTTAAATAGAGCAACCCTATAACAAACTGAGCCTCAGGTGCATTCTAGAGCCTATTTAGGAAACACAGTCACTAAGGACACACATGAAGGATCAGGTGTGCGTCACATATGTCAGGGCATCTCTCCGTGGAAGTGTTTGTTTATGAGTGCGGATGAACTGCTGGATAAAGTATGATAGTACCTTATTATTACAGATATTTTACTCCTATTAGCCAGAAATGTTCTTTTTCTAACCCAGAGATATTGTTCTCTATAACACATGGAATGGATGTGCTTTATTCACAAAAGTTTTACACAATTTTGGGCATTAGTTAAATTGGCAACTTTGAATGGAAACCTCTGCGAGTACATACATCTTCCTGGTATCCAGTACTGTGTCTCCAGCTTTGCTTCGATCCCATTGAGTCCTGCTCTCCTGAGACTCCATACTTCCCTGGATTTCCAGAGTACTAAAAGTGTGAGAGAGAATTTGTATTAGAAATTATGCCTTTATGATTTTGTACTTGTAAGTATACTGTAAATAAAACAAAGATTATTGGAGTGAGTTTTACAAGAAAAAAAAAACATTTTGGCAGAAACCATTTCTTTGTAGGAATTTAAGAAATTTACGAGCAATTTCTGAGTGAAAAGGGTTTCAAAGTCAATCAACAGCCACTTTATTCAAGGAAAATAGCAGCAAGGACATTCTGCCAAATCTATAATTTTGTGCTTTCACTGTATATAGAAAATGATCTCGGAATGACATGAAAGTAAGTCATAGTTTAGGACAGTGGTTCTCAGCAATCTTCCAAGGGGGCATTAAGCTAACTTACAATGATTTAAAATAAGACAAAACAACTAAAAAACAATATGTCTTAATGTAGCTTCATTTACCCCCTTAACAAGTGGTTATTTTTATTTATTTATTCATTTTTGAAGAAAAAGAACCAGGATTCTCAACATGGAAAGCTTAGATACAAAAAAGAAAGGCACATTTTAAAAGTATGATTTCCAGAGCTGGAAAATTCATAGAGATAAATGAAATATTGAAAATCCATAGGCATTTTTATACACTTTATGAATAAGCATATTTATAGTTATGCCCTGCTCTAAAATATTTTACTGAGAGATATTTTACTGCCAGCAGACGGCAGAAAAGCACAAAGTTATAGTCAGCTGGTTTGGATTCGAATATAGTTCTTGGTGTGAACAGGCCAAAGATTCCCACTGTATCCCACCTCAGGTAAGTTCCACTGGGACTTGCTGCCGTCTCTTAGGTAGTAGTACGTCCGCCCTCGATCATCTAGCGACTTAATCCACTGTCAAAAAGACACTTCATTAGTTCACCAAATTGCAAAACTAGCCTACAGCCATACTCTCATACATCTCACTAATAATAGCAAGTAATCAGCCCAAATAATATAAGGACACGCCAAGGTCAGTGTCAGTCCTGTACCTGTTCCTGCGTGAAGTGGCTTGTGAAGACCCAAGTTCCTTCAGGGTCAATGCTGAGGGTCCATCCTGGCGGGGTGCTTTGATCCAGACTTACTCTGGGAATAAAGACCTTCTTCATATTAATCAAAGAATATTCTGCTGACATAGAGAGAGGAGACGATTCCTCCAGTTCTGGCGATGCTGGGTAGTCTTCCTCAGGAAGCGGAAGCTACATGTTGAGAAGCAAAGAAGGCAGTGTGAACATTAATCAAACTGTAATGAAATAATGGTTGAAATTAACCAATTATTTAGACAGAAACCTTTTTGAAAATATGATTATTTATCAATTGTATGCAATGCATTATTTTTGCAGTTTTTTTAATACAACATATACTTTAGGCTCAACAGCATATACTTTATCCACAATAATATTCAAAGGCCCCATGATATTTTCTGTTGCTCATGATTTACTGGATGGAGATTTACCCTTTAATGCATACCTCGGGTCTTTATCGACCCAGCGAGTCATTCACAACCCTCCCTCTTTTTCATTTTTAAAGTTAGAGATCAACTTTAAACAATTTAACAAGAAAAAATAAAATGATAAACGAATGTCTGTTTAAAAAAATAAGGAAAAAAAGTGGACATAAGGTTAGACAGCATGAAGCTCATGAAGAGTCAGAATGCCAGTCTGTCAGTAAACAGTAAATAAATGACTTTCAATTGATTCATTACAAAAGTGCTAACAGACGCTAGAACAGACCTCATTGGCCCTTTCCCAAATGGCACCCTAAACGCTCGTGTTCTTCCCTTGAGTCCGCAATTTCGTGACCACTTTGACTGATGGGAAGAAGTCTGCTGTGGAGCTCGCTTCAGTGTGCTTTGACCACAAAGAAACCTAAAATTACAAATTGAACACCCTACAGCCTCTTGGACTTAAAGGGATACTCCACTTTTTTTGGAAATAGGCTAATTTTACAACTCCCTCAGAGTTAAACAGTTGAGTTTTACCGTTTTTGAATCCATTCAGACGATTTAACGTAACGTAACCAGACAGTTTCTGGTCTCATTGACTTCCATAGTAGGAAAAAAATATAGTATGGAACTCAATGAGACCAGAAACTGTCTGGTTACTGATATTCTTCAAAATATCAGAAAATCGACTGAATACATTCGAAAACGGTCAAAACCCAACTGTTTAACTATGGAGGAGTGGTAAAATGAGCCTATTTCCAAAAAAAAAGTGAAGTATCCCTTTAAAGAACACACACACACACACACACGGCAGCCATTGTAAGTCCACAAGTACAAAAGTGCATATGAAGTGTGCCATTTGGGACAGGGCCATTGGTGTGTGGGTAATGGGTTGCCAAACCCACTTAAAGGTGCATACCGGACAGCTGCTGACGTAAAATAAAGGATCGGGCTTAGGATAGCAGATACCGATCAGTTTAAAAAAAAACAAAAAACGGCCTTGATACTGATCCTTGAGATCAGCCCAGTAACTTAATTCAGATGACCTTTTACAGTGATATTATAGACCTTATGTAAAAAAAAATATATTATATATACCTTCATGGGCATTTTTTATTGAATATATGTATTTTTTTTTTTTAAATAATGCCAAGCTATACAATATTTCATGGGGTAGAAATTATAATAAAAACTGAAAAAGTCATGGGGCCTTCAACGGCAGGCGTGGAGTCAAAATGGTTAAGAACCCTTGCGATAACTAATTTAAATCTGAAAGTTAGCTATATTTACATGAATACCATAATATATGAATATGGTAATGATTTAGACCATAGTACACGTCAAAGTATCATTCGTCTGAATCAGCAGAATAACCTCCATACCGGGAAATCTTCCTGACATGTTGCGTTCCCTGGTGAGCTGATGTCCTCCGGGGGATCCCATGAGCTCTGGCCCGACACGGAGTTAAAGAAGTAATGTCTGCCAGTATTGTCATCCAGCAATTTCTCCCAGTCCGAGCTCCATCTCTGAGGAGAAGGGCCTGCGGGCGAGCAAGTGGGAGACTGGGGGAAAGAGGGAGGAGAACGGGCCTCTTCCGTCGCCACTGACGAATCCATGGAGAAACTGAGGGGAAAGTCCCAGGTGCTCCGGCCCGTGGAGGGATGGAAGTAGTACTCTTGCCCACTCTGGTCGTCAGTATGGACCTCCCATCCCGCAGAGTCCAAAAGGAGGGTATCGGGAGGGTCCGGGAAGTTCTGTAATGGAGGAGTTATGGGACTGGAGGTGCCAATGGTACTCCGACGCACACGTGGGATGTTTACATACACCGCTGTGAGATTGTTGTCATCCTCTACCTGATGGACAAAATGAGGAGCATTGCTGATATTAAAATAAAGCCAGGATTAACAGATTAGAATGGCAGTTGACAAAAACGTTTAGCTTAACATGCATAGACTCTCAAATATGATGATCTTTTTGAAAGGAACCCCACCCTAAGCAATATTTACATGTAAAGATCCATTTATACAAAAAATATAAAAAATAGTCATTAAATAGTTATTATGTAAAAATAATATGTGGAATATTAAAGAAAACATGTTGTTTGAATAATTAAATAAAGCTCTTTAAATAATAAAAATCATAAAAAACATTTTCATTGCTTTAAATAATATACCAAATAAACTCAACAAAAAAATATTGCAACTAAAAGTAAAATTACATCAGAAAATATTATTATTATTATTAAACAGAAAATATTAAAATAAAATCCAATTAAAAATGTTAACAAAAACTATAATATAGTTTTTGCTATAACTGGTTTTATACTGTCATTGCACAAAAGCCCAAACAAATTATTAAAATATTTTACGATTTGCTTTTTTACTTTTTGATAGGTTGACAGCATAACTATTGCTCAACCCCAGTGTATAAAGTGAGAAATATTATGATATAATCTAGAATAGATCATTTGTTCTTTGTTATCCAGCCAAATGATGAATGTATAGAAGAGAAAACATATTTTGCTAAAGGATAGTGAAATGAAATGCCCAGAAGCTAGAGAAATCATGAAATATTATGTAATAACAGAATATAAATATTGTGCATTTGGCTGAAGACATGCATGTGTAACTTGATTCACTTGACCTTATGTAAACAGGTAATTGTGTGAGGTCACAAATGTTTACACAAAGAGCAAAACATACACTGGATGGAGCGTCTGCTTTCACACCCTCCTCCCACAGTTCTCCCTTATGCAAAATGTACCATGCACTAACATGAAGCTCAGCTCAGAGGGACTGTCCACATCACCAGGAAGAAAAACAAAAGCTCTCTAACCTGAGTAACACCCACGCTACTGTCCAATGCATTCTGGAAATGCATTGATCCTCAAAAATGATAAAGTGATTTCAACTATATGCCTTATGTGCCAGTTACAGAAAGAGAGCACTTCCTGTGCACGCTGATCTCAGGAAACAGAACAAGGGTTTTCAGCCGTAAAGAAGAAAACCACAAACAGACTTGCATCTTTATTGTTTGTCCTATTTCGATGGCCAAAGCCTCTCCAGATAAAGCTCACATGATCCTGATTAAAGAATGGAGAATGTTTGATCCCCGAGATTGAGACTATATATATCAATGAAAGGGGCCTTTTAATCTAGTTTTAGATTGTCAGTGTTTGTGATATGTAGTGCTGCTGCTGTGAATATTGAGGTTGGTTAAAGCATGCTGCCATACAACATACTTATACAAGTACTTATTACAGATATAATACACTTAAGTGCATACTGAATGCAATGTTTTATTGAATGTTAATTGCAATTAAATGAAAAACTATTACAGTTAAATTGATATTAAAAGCAATAGGTGGTTTGCAGTCACGTGATTGTGTTGACGCGCGGAATGCAGATGGACGAGATGGAGGAAAATCCGTACTGTACTACTTTAGACGCTATTACAAGAGAAATATATAAACAACATATGTTGGACGTGATCCTTACGTTATGAAGAGGACCAATTTTCAACTGAATTGAGAGATTTGCCTGCCATCGAGGCTGGAGATATCAGCAACTAACTCGTCTTACAGACATACTTTGACTTTACAAAGTTCGGAAACTGGTACATTACACAAACAGCCACATAAGTGTATTTAAACACCTGAATAATGTAATTATACACTCTAAAAAATGCTGGGTTGTTTTAACCCAATTTTGGGTCAAATATGGACAAACCCGAAATGTTGGGTTAAAAATGTAATGTAAAAATTTAACCCAACGGCTGGGTTAGTCCATATTTAACCCAAAGTTGGGTTAAAACAACCCAGCATTTTTTAGAGTGTAAGCCACATAAATAATGTATTAACTCACATTTGACGAAGTGATCACTGCACACACACACACACACACACTCCTCCCGACCGCAGACGTAGGTTTGCAAGGCATTTTTCCCGGTGTTTTTCTGTCAATTTCTTGTATTTTCTCCCCTTATGGACAACAACTTTGGGCACACGATAAAAACTCCTTGTGGTTTGATCGCTTTGAGCAACCATAAACGACGCAAAACATAGGCATTTTGAGTGTGTTATAGTGCTTCCTAATGTAGAAAATCACTTCCTGCCCTCCATCTGCTTTTCGCACCATGGCAACGTGACATCACGTGAAAACAAGCTATTAGCTGTGCATTTTTTACCCACTTCAGTAGGACTAAAGTATGTCTTTATATGTATTTTTTATAATTACTTGCTATAAATGGATTTCTCGGCGACGTCATCACTGCTTGAGCGCGCAACCAGGGGGCAAAAGACCCGTGGTTTTCGTAGCGGAGTAAAGTGTTTAGCCTAGTAGCATAGTGGTGGTGTTGTCGCTAGTGGTGAAACCACAGTTATGATATGTTGCAGGTCGTAAAGTAACATAAACAAGGTTAACTTATATAAAAGCAAATTCAGGCTCTATAGAAGCTATTACGTTACTACAAAATTAACAAATCTTTTTTCGAGTCATGACTCGAAGGGTCCCAGATAAGACCCTTATTCATCGTCTGGTGTCGTTTAAAGCCCTTTGAAGCTGCACGAAAACTCTCATTTGGACCTTGAACCGTTTGGTTCCCAATGAAGTCCATTATATGGAGAAAATCCTGGAATGTTTTCATCAAAAACCTTAATTTCTTTTCGACTGAAGAAAGAAAGACGTGGACATCTTGGATGACATGGGAGTGAGTAATAGCCCCACACTACAGAAGATACCGATGTTTTATTAGACCAAATGTTCATTTTGGACCGGAGTTCTCCTTTAAGAAGTCTATAGAGGAGTGATCCAGCTTTCATATTTAATCAAAAATATATTCATTTGTGTTTTAAAGATGAGCGAAAGTCTTACAGGGTTGGACTTGGAACAACATGAGGGTGAGTAATTACTGACAGAATTTTAATTTAGGGGTGAACTATCCCTTTAAGCACTTCTTTAAATGTGTGCAAAGTTCAACGATGCAATTCCAGGGTATTGCTATTGCTATGTGGTTATTCAGGTGTTTGAAATGGTTTTTAACACATGTGGTTGCTACTAGTGTAGGTGGTTGCTAACCGGCCCGAGTCTCTATCAAGTCTCTTTGATTTTTTGGTCTCTAAGAGAAGTCTGACATTTTTCCATTTTAGAAAAGAGAAGTCCATTTTATCGTCTGCCTGGTGAAAATAGCAGCATGATTTGTGATGTCATTCATATACAATAATAATTTGTTACATTTCTATAACGCTTTTCTCGCCATTTAAAACGCTTTACATGGAAGGGGGTATCCCATCATCCACCTGGATGATGCGACAGCAGCCATATAGTGTGCCAGAACACATCAGTTCAGTGGTGGAGAGGAGACAGATAATGAGCTAATCACTATATACATTCTTAGAAGAAATGGTTCTATTTAGAACCAGAAATGGTTCCATCCCCTGCTTCATATATGGAACTCCAAAATGGTTATATAAGAACCATTTTTTTTGGTAAAAGGTTCTATTGGCCAAGTATGGAACCCCAGGGTTCTATATAAAACCCAGAGGAACCCTTTTTTTAAGAGTGTATAGAACCTTTTAGGGGTTCCAAATATGTAGCGCTGATAGAACCTTTTAAGGTTCTATATAAAACATTTTCTTCTAAGAGTGTATGGGATGCTCAGGAGTAGGGTTGGGTATCGAGAATCGAGTATCGATTGGAACCGAGACTAACTTTTCGTTTTTCCCGGAATCGTTCAAAAGTTAAAATTTCGATTCCTAGTTTCGATATTCACAGTCCGCCGAGCGGAAGAAGAAACCGCTGAACAACACCAACAAAGAAGCGTCTACCGGAAGTGTTGGCATAACCACGCGAGTCGAACATGAGTACCTTACGTCGGCGGTCCAAAGTGTGGCTTCACTTTTCTAAAAATAACGAAATCTCGGCAAAATGCAAAATTTGTGACAAAAGGAGTATTTTTACAGAAGGAGTATTTCCTTCAGAAAGGCCGTTGGTTAGCAAGGTTAGCTAAACTTTTTTGACCCTGCCTCTTAAAAGAATCGGAATCGAGAATCGTTAGGAACCGGAATCGAAACAAGGAATCGGAATCAAAATCGTTCAAATTCAAACGATACCCAACCCAACTCATGGGGCCATGATGATGAACAGAGGCTGATGGGCAAATATGTAGCAATATATGTCCAAGGCAATATATGTAGCACAAGTAGTGCTGGAAGAGACACATGCAGAAGTGTACTAAATAGGGTTTGTTCAAATGCTTAACCGTTAGTATGAGAAATAGTAATAGTATTAATAAATATCACAAGCTAAGAAAATGATTAGATCTTAAAGTTCCTTTATATACCAATGCACAATAGAGTTTGCAAATATATATACATACATAAATATATATATATAACAAGTTCACAGAAGAACACATGAAGTTCCCTGTGCATGCATGTGGAGTGAAGCTGGCTCTGAATAGATGACTATACTGAGCTCACCTGTAGCCTCGAGAGAGGCCTGTACGAGGACACACCTCTCCTGAAAAATGTCTGTGAGAGATAAAGAGAGACAGAAAAAAGAAAGAAAAAGAAATAGAGAAACAATCGAACCACAACAACGGAAATAAAAGCCAGTCACCCGGCACGTCATATCCTGGGGTCTATATTTACCCAGGCCTGGCGCAGACCAAGTGTGTGTGTCAGCCACAACTGCCAAATGCATCAACGGACAGGAAACAGGTTTATTATTAAAGTGATCACAAACAATAGCCGCACAAATACGTCTACCACGAACACTGGCTTGAGATCATTTGGTGGGATGAGAATTGAGTGATAAAGATAAACTTCTGTCAGAAGATTATTTAGCCACCCAAC